AAAAAAAAAAAAAAAAAAAAAAAAGAATTGCAAGATATAATAATTGAACAAATCTATAACAAGCCAAGATTTAATGTGCACCGGTTGCCACGACTTGCCTTTCTTTATACCTTCTTCAAAAAGACGCATTCAAACGGTGAAACTGGTGGGGCAATGGGGTCAGCTTTTTGACCCACTTTTTTTCAAATCATTTTTTACGTAATTATCTCGGTTAAATTTCAAAAAAAAATAATATAAATGTGTTATTCTGGCATTGACCTACAGATTTCTTGTCCTTTTCAAATTTGTTACAACATTTCTGATACCGCCGTTGAAACCATAAGAACACAGACCGATAAGATGAACTTCTCGGCCACCATGGAACACACTAAAGTCGACCATAACAGTTTAAACAAAATTCGTGGCGCCGCAAAGTCAATAGAAAGCAAAATGCAACGCCAACCCTTTCATAGCAAAATCAGACTTCCCACCGCTACATCCGTTGCAGAAAACTTGGAACATTACGACAAAAACTCTAGCAAAAGATAACATTAAGAGACTTGAATCCTAGAGCTCTACATGCTCTTGTAACTGATGCTTTCTTCACCTATGATCACTGTGTATCAACAGTAGCTAGCCAAAGCAAATCATCTTACAGTAAACAAATTGTAATGCAATGAACTCTTTCACGATTACTAATTATTGTTATCTTTTATTGAAAACATATGAAAAAACACCTGACAGTGAGTCCACAGAAAAGAAAACATAAAAAGACTACGAAAAAAAGTGCTTATTTTCTGTGGCCTAAAACTGCCAATCAAAAATGAACCTTTCTTGTTGCAAAATGACTGTGAACAACAGCCTTTAATAAAACAAACACACCAAAAACATATCTTCAAGACAATTTTTCAGTTTTGTGAAAAAATACCCCTCCCAGAAGTCTGAATAGCCAAATTAAAAAACTGAAATCATAACATCCGTCTTTTCGCAAAAACATAGCCAAAGCACAAAAGCTACCTTATTAAAATTTGTAATATTTCTTACACAAATTAATGAAAGCTGCAGTTTTATACCAATAGAGCCTAAGTATTATCTAACTCCCGACAAAAAAGTGAACTCCATAAAAGTTGTGGAAGCCTTTAGAACAAATAACTTAAAAAAGTAAATGCACATTCACATCAAGATAAGCTGTTAATGTCGTGCTTCCTCACTGGCTAGATAGCCTTATCACATCATGCAAAGATTGGCAGAAGCATCTCTGGAAGAGTTTCAATTTGAGGTAATTAAACTTAGGCAGAAAGAACACCAGGCGACCAAGACATCCACAGTAAGATAAAAGTTAATAACACATACTGCACCTATCTTGCCGATAAATATTAACCAACACTGCAAGCTCTTCAAAAATCCACAAAAGAACAAAAAACAGATAAAAAACTGAAAATTGCAAAGAAAGTTTCTTATATTTTAAAATGACGCTTCATTCTTCTGCGACAGTGGACATCCCAGTACGCCTTTCATACAGCTCTCTCTCAGTCGGCTGAATTAAGCCCCACTTTTCCGCAGCTTCTAAAGCCTCTTGAGCAACTTTTTTTGCAGCCTCATGACTTTTGTTATTCAGTTTTGCAACAGCTTGCAACCTTCGAAATACTTCACTCTAAAAAAAACCAAGTACCCATACATGTAGTTAATTAAGATCTCACACGTTTGCCTCCTAAGTAAGCACAGCTTGATCGTCTGATTCATAAGAGCACAAACCAAAAATAAATAAATAAATAAATTAATTAATTAATTACATTTAATTTAATGAAACTAACAGCAATTATTTCGCTGGCAACCTTTTCCGACGAGAGAATCATATTCTTTATTCCAAGTAAACCTCGCCGCTGTATTTCCGGGTTTCCAATAAAGCAAACCTCTCCAAGAATGTCTCTCCAGCTTTTAACTTCATCAATAATCCTCTGGCAAACTTTTGCATCTTCTGTGAGTATAGCAAAACCAGCAGTGGACGCCATAGCTAGCCTCTCATCTTCTTCGGCTGTATATAAGAACCACAGCTTCAATTTATCTGTTCCAGGCTATAATTCAATAACCGACTTATAACTGTGAAACGAAGTACTTTCCTTTTCCATTATGATGTTGTAAAAGGTAAAAATTATAGGAGAAAACTACTTAAATACATCTTAAGCCTTTTTCTTCCTATTAGAAGAATACCAAAGAAAAACCTTGGCAACAAGTTCAAAATATTCGTCACAGAACAGCAGGTTTAAAAACAACTCTGCTGCCGCCGCACGAAGATGGGGATGGTCTGTCATAAACCAGTATTCTTCTGCTTTTGGCACAACTTTTTCTTTCAATATCCTCCTCCTCACTGAATCACTTACACTAGCCTAAACTCAAAAACAAATAACACTGTAGGAAAACACTTGGTATGACATCAAAACTGTCAAACTGTAATGTATAAACAAAAAAATACGAAACCAACAAGATTAGTGAGAGTGAGAAGCGCATCGTAGTTAGGTCGTCCTTCGATATCGGGATGGAGCAATTCTGCTAAAGGTTTTACAACCTCGTAAGCGCGTTGCCCTGGGAAAGCTATCGCAGGATCTGCCTTCAAAGAAAGTATTTTGACTTAAATTGTGGGCATACTGTGACACTTATTTAAGAGACATTGCAGAATCTGTTTGAAAATTAACCTGAGCACCAAGTCGAGCTATTGCATGTGCCGCTTTGATCTTTCCTTCACCAGTTGCTTCCTTTGTAAGTCGAAGCAACAACTTAAACAAAAATGATCCGCATTCAAATAGTAATAAAATAATAGCCAAAATATAAATTCCAAAGTAGCATTACCTTGGCACCACCTTCAGAGAGGATCTGACCACGCAAGTCTGGGAATTCGGTAAAAGCAAGCAGTGCACGTGCAAGTAGCTCTAGTGTATTTTTACTTTCAGTTTTTGAGATAGCTACACATGCAGCCGTCGCACCATCTCTAACTAGGGCTCGAACTCGCTTTTCAACGAAATCCTCTGTATCTTTCGGATGAGTTTCTGGGACATGATGCTTAGCAAACTGTAATTTAAATGTCACTTCAAAAAAAAAGTAAGGCCAATAAAAACAATCAGAAAACCGGGTCAATAAAAAATGTTCCTCTGCCACTTGTCAACTCACTTGCGCAAGTTTCACCAATTCTTCATCAATTTTTGGTTTTTCATACGCGTTTGAGCAATTGACATAGATACTGGCCAAAGTATATGAACATAAAGCTTTAGCACTCTGCAATTGTAATTCACTTTACCAAGAACTTATTCTCACTTAGAACTGAAAAGTGATCAAAAGACCAAAAACAAATTATTTACTTCGGCTAACAACAATAAAGCCCGTAAAAGCAAGGGATCTTCGACTATCCACTCCTTGACGTCAGCGTCTAGCGACAAATAAGAAAGGCCCTCGCAAGCAAAGCTGAAATCTTCATTTTACCATGCGATAAACTCAATTAAATAAAACTTGGAAATTACTGATAAATATGTGGTAACAACTTCAAAGAATCTCTTTATAAATTCAAAGTTACCTGCGTACTTCAACTGAATAAACATTGACGTCTAATAAAAAGCTTTTGCAAGTTCTCGCCAACTTTAATGTGCTCCCTTCCTGCATTGTTTGTCTGCTCGAGTCATCCCCACCTGCTGAAGCGCATTTGCAAAGCCCCATTAAAGCACGAACTTTTACATTTTCGTCCTTAGATTCGTACAGTTTCCTAAGAATCGGCACTCCAACCTAAATTGGAGAGTAACATAAAGAGGAAGAACACAGCAAGTTAAGTTCCAAAAAAGTTATAAAAGTAGTATATCAACAACCTTCAGAATAGTAGTTGCTCGCTCGTGCTTACTGACTGTCTGTACAATAAGCTCGGCAGCGATAGCCTGCTGTAGGTTATCATCACTTCCTGCCATCTCCAACATCATTGCAGTAATTTTATCGTTTGTGACCAAATTAATACCTACATCGACAGGCCCCT